TCAATTAAAAGCCTTTTTTCTCGACAACCGTATTAGGAAGTTCTAACAAGAGTACATTATTTTTAGAAAATAAAATTGTACATTAGAAATTGGAACCCGAATTGAATTGGAAAAACCTAACCTCAAAAAATTAGAACCAACTTAAAATGTAATACGAATTAGCCCTTATACATATAACGCCCTCTATAAAATATACAAGAAATAATTAGACCAGCGTATTTGGCGTCTTTAAAAACCCCGGAATACCAAATTTCATAAAAATATTTCTCACCGTTTGGAAATTTTCGTAAAAATTCTATTCAAAAATTTTATTATGTCGCTCTGTATCTCGATAACAAGAGGAGATAGACATATAGTTCATAAGACAAAAAATTCTTATTTTTTGTCGTTCTATCACCCCCTGAATTTACGGTAGGTCTTTCTGAAACACCCTGTATATTCTTATGTCCTTCACATTACTTGAAATACGAAAAGGTACTACAAATATTTTTGTATTTACCTATAACCTTTGAGTGAAAAATACTTATTCTCACTCAACGCTATAACTAAACAAAAATTGTTGTTGTGTGATAAAGTTTTCTAGAACTTTGCGTTTAATAAAATACTGGGTATAGCTAACTGGCAGCGTAAAGCAATACTTTTTTTTGTTGGATAGAATAATTGGTAACACATAATAATTACTTCTCTTTTTAATTTTCTTTGTTTAGTTGAAAAAATAAGTAGAAATAACCTAAGAGGCCCTATTAAAATGATGTTTGTCTTAGTTATCTAATTAAAAATAATTCCTATGTGTTTTTCATCAACTATGGCTTAGCACGCAAAAGACAGAACCGTACCTTTACTATTTTTCTTAGCTTCTAGTAACTTTTATATGAATGCTTATAATTATTTACGCTTATAGTATAACATAATTAGAATACGAGTACTGTCGACTAGAAAAGTAGAAATAATTAGAAGTAATTATACAATCTCAAGTGATAAGGTGTATTATTTATTAATAATGAATGCTTTACATAATAAATTATTGATAATTAATAAATATTATTTAATGTTTGCTACATATTACACTTATGGTACCTTCTTTTATATCACAGTAATTCCAAGAAAAATTATAATAAAATATGTAAATAAAATTAAAAGGATATAAGTATGTAAAAATATAAAAAAAGTTAATGTTTATAGTTTTCCAATATTCATCCACTTGATATGACATAAAATTCTAATAGTTCAAGAAAATTCATACAATTTTTGTATTTAGTATTTTTTTCTGTATTCAATGATCCGGATCTGTATATCTCCATTTCAATATAAATGTTACTTTAGTACCTACATATCCACATACGAAAATTATCTGTGAATCACAGTAAGTACCTACTACTTATTTATTGTACTAAGATATTACGCTGTACTGTAGAATATCACAAAAATTGAGTTATAAGTAATCGTTTATTAAATTTACTCTTATCAAATATATTTTTGCATGTTAGGGGTTTTGAATGGAATTAATTTTTTCTTCATTGAGCAGGTTTGTTAGAAGGATAATATATTTTACAGTTGTTATTTTGCCCTACATCCCTTATTATTAAAAGCCAATAAACGGTAAACAAAATAAGCACAGGAACTTGTTAACTAATATGGATTGTTTAATAACAGCGTAACAGGTGTGTTTAAAGAAATTGTTTGTCATATTTGTTTCATAACACATTTGGACTACCTGTCTATAAACATGCGGATGTTCTTTACACAAAAACACTTTGATGCAGCTTTTAATCAACCTTGAACCACTAGCATATCATTATATTGTTTTAACTTTATAAGTATCAATAGCAATATTGGGTTGATGACAGCCTAAAAGAACGAATTTGAAGATCTTGATCTAAGAAATAACATAACAAATAACAAGCGCTTTTATATTGTTATTAAACAATTTCTATTATTTAATGACATTTGCATATATTTGTTTCTACCATTGGCATTGGAAATATTTTTGTATAATACACCAACAAATGTTTTCAAATGATTTTTAGATTAGATAAAGATGATGATTACACAGACTGACAAATATAAATTTTTTTTTTTTGTTTTTAAATCAAACTATTTTATAGATTTTGATGTGCTGAAATCAAATTTGAGGAGTAAAAATATTCTCATAGTTTAGATTTTTTGTAGTCGCAAAGACAAGTCTCTTCTATATTGATTATGCAGTTATCTTTGGGTAAATATGAAGAATATCGACTCTATCCTAATTTTAACCTAGATGACTGATTTCCTATGTATCTTTGGGCGCTGAACACGAATCTGATATCCTAACTTGGCGGACGGTCCTTTTTAGGGCAAAAAAGGACGAAGGACAAAAACACAATTTTATTGTAAAGAGAAGCGTAAGGTATGTATTTTTGGAGCCTCAACATAAATCCGATGACAAAAAAGGGCACTGCATTTCCAATGGCAAAAAGAGCAACAACTCAATTCTATTGAAAAATCTCAAGCGTGTGGTGTTTCATAAGAATAGCCTAACCTGACCCAATCAGTGTCGAGCAAGGTGCTTTAGGGGGTTGAAGAAAAATTAATTACCGAAAGATGGGAAAAAATCAAAATCAGTTAACGTGTTTCGGCGTTTTAAAAAAAAATAACTCATTCAAAAGATATGAATTTTATTCCGTACTTCTGGCCATCCCTGTATTTTGATATCACTTTGAATAATTTTATTTTTAATTTCGGAATATTTTAAAAACTGTACATACAGAATGTTTTATATTACATACCGTGAGCGGCAAAAGTTTGGAATATATTTATTTAAAAATCAGATGTTCGTTATTTGATAAATCGCTAGGACCCGTCGAATTATATTTTTAATTGCGCATTTTCTGAAGCAATTTTCATTTATACAGGGTGGCCCAAAACAAGTTATGAAATCATGGCCAACTTTTTTAAATGGAAACCCCACTTTTTTGTATTTTTATTCAATTCTCCATGAAATTCTGATCGTTTTTTATGTAACATAACCTATACTTATCTTTAATCGTTTTCGAGATAATGGCGTCTGAATATAGAATATGGAAAATTTTCAAAAATTACCCGGAGATTTACTGTGCTGGTTTTAAAATAAAACCACGTTTACTTTTCCATCTTAGATTTGTGTGGTTCACAGAAAGTTGCTTCAAATCAGAAAAATTATAAGAAATAAGTGGTTCGGTGATTTATTTTTATCATTAGGACGCAATGACTTGAATGTAAAAATATAACTATATATTTAGATATAATTTAATTAAAAACGCATAATTTTATTGTATAAAATATGATTTTGTTAAATGTTACTATTTTAATTACGAGTCAGGTTATTTTGCAAACTTTTAGCACCGTTTCATGTTTCTTTGTAAAGAACAAAAAACTTAAAAAACTCTCCAGAAAAACACGCATTGTAGCCGTCGTTAAGCAACTAAATATTAATAGGTAACGTCAAAGTCAGTTGAAACGGATGTACCTTGTTCACTACTACTATTTTTTATTATTTAGGACAGCAGCGGATAGAAATTCTGACATGCCAAGCGATACCTTGTATTTTCAACAGGATGGCGCGCCACCTCATTTTGCTCGGCAAGTTCGAAGTTATTTAAACAAATGTTTTCGTGGGCGTTGGATTGGAAGACGGGGACCAATAAGGTCTCCTTTGGATTACTTCTTATGGGGTTATTTAAAATCCAAAGTTTATGTAAATCCACCGCAAAACATCGAGGACTTAAAAACCCGAATGAGGCAGGAAATTAGGAATATTGACAGAAACGTACTAAATAATGTTGAAGATGAGTTTGTACATAGGCTTGGGTATTGTCAAGAAACCAATGGATGGCAATTTGAACATTTAATTTAACTCTGCTTGTTTGAATTAGTTTATAATCTCGAATTTTTTGCTTGAATGATTGTATGATTTGGATATTTGTTACAGAATATTTCACATTATTCTTGCTGTGTTCTGGCTTTGTCAGTTTGTACCAAACAAATTAAAATTAAGAATTAAATTCATTAGCTGTGCTTAAATATTTGAAAAACACAAAATATATTTAGCAGAAAGTACACCAGTTCCCACTGACTTTGACGTTACAGTCCTTACGTATCGAGAGTAATTTTTGAAAATTTTCCATATTCTATATTTAGACGCCATTATCTCGAAAACGGTTAGGTTATGTTACATAAAGAATGATCAGAATTCCATTGAGGACTGAATAAAAATACAAAAAAGTGGGGTTTCTATTTGAAATAGTAGGCCTTGATTTCATAACTTTTTTTGGGCCACCCTCTATAAATGAAAGTTGCTTCAGAAAATGCGCAACTAAAAATATAATTCGACGGGTCCGAGCGATTGTTCAAATAACGAACATCTAATTTAAAAAAAAATCCATATATAGTATTGAACAAAATCCAGTGTTTTTTTCGGTACAATTAAGACAATAAAATTAAATTTCACCTACAAATGAAACCGAAACATTGAAGTCTCTCTTTAAATTTACAACCTGCCAAATATATGTCTCCGTTATCTAACAATAAATAGTTATAAGATTGAAACTTAGTTTTGTATGCTGATAGTTTTTCAATAACGAAGAGAAAATTTGTTTATAAGAACACTACCTGATTTGGAGATAATTTATCGGTCAAAATAAACATGGGAACATTTATATTTCTTAAGTAACTCACTCCACATCCTTCGCGTGGTTGAACGAACATCGCTCAATTTATTTTGTCTCCTTGTTAGTAATTTTAAATGATTGTGTGTTAAACACTCAGGTTAATTGTAAGTACAATAAGCAATTTCATTTCTCTGTCTTTTAAGGTTCTGTAGAGTATTTAGTTATTTCTTTTAATTTACGTAAGAATGCCTGTACATTAATAAATAATTATGTAAGTACCCCTTATTTTCATGAGGAACCATGGTTCAACAACGAAAACCTAATTATCCTCTAATCATAATCACTGCGAGTATTAACTACTAATATTCTTTCCAGAATGTCTTATCTCATAAAACAAAGCTGCGACAGTAAAATATCCAAGATAGTAAACTAAAAGTTCTGCTATTCGACAGAAGTTGAAGAACGCTACTTAACTAACTGTGAGTACTATTTAGTTACGTACAATAAATATTTTTTATCAATAATCCATAATCCAATCAATAATAATAATTTTATTGTCATCAATAATTATATGATAATAATCAATAATAATAATGTCAATAATTCAAAAAATTATAAGTGCCCGTTATATTTAAAATTTATGAATAGTTGGACACTTAATTTTTTAAATTCAATAAAATTAAGAACTTGCTTAGACAAAAATATTCACATAACGTATATGAACTGGGTATGCAATATTTAATTTAATAAATAATAGGTACACACAGTTTCTATATTTTTTATCAGGTTAGTAGGTACCACTTAATTTCGTAATAAATTTTAATAAAGCTGCTAATGCCAATAATATTTTTAATATAAGAATAAATTACGGGTACATTTATAATTTTCTTATAATCTTATAAAATAATATTTGTACAGCTTCGCATATCGAAAAATATTTGATAAATAATTAAAGGTTTGATAAATTTTTGTACGTTACAACTGAATTTAACCAATAAAAAAACTATAATAAATTTAATTCGATGTACCACAAAATATTTTCAAAAAAGGAGTGTATGATTCAGAACTTATCCGAAAAAAAAGAACAGTGTGTATAACGCCAAATTTGGATATGAATGAAAATGAAAAATTTGGACCAGTTTTCACATAAGAGAATTTTCTGAGAAATATCAAGGTCATCAATATCAAGGTCATGGATAAATTTTACTAATGGTATCGTCTGCAGCGCCCCAAAATACTACGAAAATTTTCTTTTTCGTGGACAAAATTTAGGAAAAAATCTGTTTTTACCCATATTTGGGCGTTTTAACCTAAAATTTCACTTTTCTCCGGAAGTCAATAATTTTGACTACAGGATCGTGTTGGTCACTTGTGTTTGGACTTTTTTTTGTGTACATGTGTTATGAAACACTACTTGGCAATTGTACTTCTGGCAGTCCGACTGATTTGTATTTAATTTTCTATAAAGAGGTGTCATCTAATCATCTAATGTACCTACTATATTTTGAGTACACTTGATTTATCAGTGTACATAAGTTTACATAAATTACTGGAATCGATCATATATCAAAAAAATAAGTATAGTACGGAATATATTATATGTGCTTTACACAGGGTTTCCTGTTGGGACCCTTGTTTTTCTATGTATATGTTACTGATTGTTTCTAATACCTTTTTATTGTACGTTATTTGTTGGTAAAACTATCGTCTACGCGTCTGCTCATACTCCCTCTTTGCTTTCCGATGAAATAATTGAAAGAGTACGATTTTCAGTAAACAATATTAAAATAAATTAAAGTAAAACGCAAACCTTGCATTCTATACACTTTTTTAATTCGTAGATGGATGCATTTTTTTTATTAATAATCGTTTGAAAATGTGTTATTTTCGCGTTTTCGGTTCGATGTAAGTAATTGTGTAATATGTAATTTGTAACAGTACAATTTCCAATAAAACATTTTAATTGCAAATGAAAGCTATTAACTAGGTTTTGTTATACTGCACACTGTCGACGGCTTTAAAAGAAACATGACATTCTATCGCTCTACTGTCTATACATCCACTCTGCGATTCATTCTCAAAAACATTTATACGTTATACTTTCCTATACATAGTTATATGTCGACCGTTTTTAAATTTCACACCATAGACAATACTAAATCAAAGAAAAATATTAAATTCAGTTTATAATTATATGTATATTGCCAACCAGTATAAAAACTCTCAATGTCCTTATCATTGCTAACATACTCAGTTCTGTCGCTACTCAGATGAAAAATTTTTAAATAATTCCGATATGAATATATTAGCCTTATCGTACCTTATTACGATTTTATACATGTTGAAATAACCCCTTGTTTCTCTTATTGCGTTGTATTGCGATAAACTTTACTGTTGATATTTTTTGTGGTTATACATATTTTTATTTTGATTATCCATACAAATGGTTGTTGTAATTTAACATTTTGTCCCATGAGGTTATCGTGGTAAAGGAATTTCCGAAAATCGCCTTTTGTACAGGGCGATTCACAAACGTGACCAAAAATGAAACCTCGTATTCTTTGATGAATTTTGAGGATAGTCTTTCGTATAAAAATTTTATCTAGGATGTTAAACTTAAAAAAATATTTTTAATTTTTTTAAATAATTAAAAAGCTATTAAGGGAAATAATTTGGTATCTATTTATGTAAACATTGTCTAAAATCTGAGGCCTTTTCCTAAAATTTAGATGCTCCAGAATCATGATATAAACACACTAGAATATTCGAGTAAAATGCGGTTTATTACTTAGTAGGCTGCGATAGCAACTTTGACATTCTGAGCAGTTAGAAGAAAGAATAAATAATGCCTTTCATCAGATGCAAGCAACAATAAATTTCGAACAAGCTACATTTTCGTTACTAAAAAGATGTCGCGCCTACGTTCGTGGAAATGGAGGTATTTTGAGCATTTACTCAAATAAAATAATTAAAATGATGACTAATGTTATTAATTTCTTTATTCAAAAAAATAACCGAAGGATTAGTGTTCGTCATGTCATAAAAGTGTTTGCAGTTCGTTTTTTTAAGTTTTTCGAAAAACACAAGTAGTAATTTGCAGAAAATTGAATGAGGAGTCCGAAAATATAATGATTGTTACCGTATAGTAGTGGCGTACTATTTTATTTAGAAAAATATGCCACATTTATCTGGTATCTCTGTCACTGAAGCATCTAAATTTTAGGAAAAAGCCTCACATTTTGAACAATGTTTACATACATACATGTGCCTAATTTCAAATTAGTTCACTTATCAGTTTTTAAATTATTTTAAAAAAATTAAAACATTTTTGTTTTAATTTAACATCCTGTATCTTTTTAACAAAGCGTTCTAGATGAAAACTTTATACGAAAGACTCCTCTTAAAATTGACCGAAGAATAAGATGTTTCATTTTTGGTTACCGTTTGTGAATCACCCTGTATTTCTTAATCAGATCTATATTACTGATTTTAATTTTAAATAATTAATAATTATAGAAGAATTGTACATATAATATTTATTTTAAAGAAAATAACTAGATTCGTGTACACTGTATCAGAAAACAATAAAATTGTAGTAAAGTATAGTTCTAGAAAGCAGTATTTGTACAATATTATGTGTTAAAATTGCAAAATAAATTGAAAAAAAAAAAAACTTTCCATGACACTGAATTTTCTATATTTCTTTCGATGTATCACATTTGTTTATACCTGTACTATTTTAGCAGATTATTTTCTAGTACACATTCTTCCATGAGATTGACAATCTAGGAAGATAATTGTTTCTAACTTCCCATTACACAATAAAAACAATCCTTAAAATAAATCTTTCTGTACATTCTACAATATGCCCTATGTATCAAAAATGGAATTGAAAGTATGCCAATTTGCTGTACTAATTATAAGTTGAATAAAATTAAGAATAAACAGGGAGTTTCTTCAATATTTCGAAAAATTTGCCAAAAAGTAAATAAAAGTCTTCTATACTTCTCACAATTTATTTCTCACCAATCAATGCGAGGGAGGATAGAAGCTTGAAACGCAGCTGAAGTGCCATTCGAATAAGTTGTAGACAATGAAACACTTTATTTTTTATTAAAAAAACATTATTGTAAATTATTACGACATAGGGACCAAATTTTCATTAAAAGGAATATAGTAAAAAAAAACATTAAGTATTATTATTTTCAATCCCATTCGAGGGTCACAGATGATTAAAAATATCAGTGTAGGAAAGCTTTTGACGAGATAAAGTGACATACCAAATTGTATTATTTTATGTTTCGCCAACAGTGAAAAGTAAGGTAATGGGGAATAACTCCGACAGCAGATGATTTTTGGAAATAGATTATGTAGAAGACTCTTACTTTTTGGCAAAGGATCCTTCCTTAATGTTTTTGGCAATGTTAATGAAACACTCTGTATATAAGGATATTATATTTCAGATGCTATTAACTTCGACATGGATATTAGATCTCATAATTTTCTTTGGAATTGGTATAATATTTATGTACATATATTCCACCAGAAAATATGACTACTTTAAGAAAAGGAATATACATTACGAGAAGCCTATCCCTTTATTTGGAAGCATATTTCCTGTATTGAGTATGAAGACAACAATAGGAGAATGGTTACGTCAGCTTTGCAATTCGACCAGTGCCCCATATTTCGGAATATTTGTATTCGATGAGCCCTATATCATTATAAAATCTCCCGAGATAATCAAACACATTTTGGTAAAAGATTTCAGCAACTTTTCAGATCGGACTGTATTGGCTCCTAAACATAATAAAATCATGTCCAATATGCTTTTCGTCCAGAAGAATCCAGACTGGAGGAAAGTTAGATCCAAGATGAGTCCAGTATTCTCCTCTGGGAAACTAAAAGGAATGCTTTCCATTATAAATGAAGTCGGGGTAGATCTAAATCGATATATACGAGAGAATTTAGGTCAGTTGGAAACGAAAGAGGTTACGGCAAAATACTCTACAGATGCGATATCAAAATGCGCATTTGCAATAAATTCTCATTCCTTTAAAGACGAAAACAGCGATTTTAGAAAAGTTGGTAGGGCCTTTTTTGACTTTACGTGGAGAAATGGTTTTGTTCAGATCGCCTATTTTTTTAAACAAAATTGGGCAAGCACATTACGCTTGGAATTTTTTGAGAAATGGTCCCTTGCTTTTCTCAGAGATATATTCTGGAAAGCAATCGAAAAGAGACAGCAGATTGGAGTGAAAGGAAACGATCTCATCGACATAATAGTGGAAATGCGAAATAACAAAGACTTATGTGAAGAATTAAATTTTGGTAAGTTCAATTTGATACATGGTATAATGTAAACTTATACTTAACTGTAGCTCTTAAATTACTAATTAAGAAGCAATTATTTGCACGACAAAGTAAATTATGGTTATTTTATTTTGAGTGGTTTCTCGGAAAATATTGGATATGCTGACTAGATATCTACAGCGTTATCGAAAAAGTTTGCACCATAAGGGAACAACTTTATACATAAATTTAATAAATTCCGTCCATTGTCAATTGTCTGTACGTGTCGTCAAATCAAAATAATGTATGTACATAGTATTGTTTTTGTATGTCCGTACTCTAAAACAGATATTGATTATAGTGTTTAATTTGCAAGTTTATTTTCAAATGTTCCTGTGCTTTCATGAACTATGAAAGTAAAAATACGGTGTGGCCATAAAAAATAGAATTTCTTTCCAATACCAGAATTTTGGAATGTTTCCGCCACGATGATTGTCTCCGATTACAAAAAAAAACGAAAAGCAAATAACTAAATATAATGTTACAGGTATTTTTTAAAATATAACAAAATACTTTCTTGATATCCAGTTTATTTTTCCTATTCTCAAACGTATTTTTTTATTTATACAAAAGCCCTCCTTTCGTTTAACTTTTATTAAAAAGTTTTTTGATATGTCTTTCTGCCCTGAAGAAATAAGGCGATATAGACCAGGCAATAAAGAGAAAAATAGCTAGACTTTCGCGGCCCGGTCCGATTTTAATTCGGTTTTTTGCATTTTGTTTAGAAAGACAGTCGGAAAAAAGTCCCGCCTTTTTTATTATCCGGAAGTGGCGGAAATGCATCGCGGGTGCATAAAGTGCATCTAGAAGTGCATCGCATCCGAGAAACTTACCAAAGTGCACGAAATACCGCAAAAATTGGTACTCGGGGGTTTTGGGGGGCGCAGAATTCGAATATGCACATATCCAGTCCACCCGATCCCCCGGGGGCACGTGGATTGCAAGGTTCTCCGAATGACTGGGAAAATGGATCTCGGGGGTTTTCGCGGGTGCTGATTCCGAATTCGAGGGTGAAAAATATCCCCTGTGCTCGTGGAGGGGGCGGTGGGGGGCAGGGGGTGTATGAAATCCCAAGTTCCCGAAATGACTGGAATAATGGATCTCGGGGGTTTTTGTCGGTGCCGATTCCGAATCTGACCCTGCCAAATGCGTCCGATGACTATTTCTGATTATTTTGGGGAAGGGTGTTAATCTTCTAAGAAGAATGAATATAAATTAATGGAAAATCATCATGGGACGAAACTCAATCTAAAAAGTTCGGTTGGAAAAAAAGATACGCCTGATAATTGTTTTAAATATATTTATTGTTCTAAAGTATAAAAGTATATTTATTGTTCTAAAGTATAAAAGTATATTTATACACGTTATAATTTTCTATCCCCAAAATACTCATTATTCCATGTTACCAGTTCATGAGTATTTCGAGAGGTTTAGATTTCATACCTGCGAAAACCCCCGAGATTCATTTTTCCAGTCATTCAGAGAACCTAGCAATCCACGTGCCCCCCGCGCCCCCAGCCGGCCGGAAGTCGCCCCCCGTGGGGTCGGGTGGACTGGATATATGCATATTCGAATTCTGCGCCCCCCAAAACCCCCGAGTACTAATTTTTGCGGTATTTCGTGCACTTTGGCAAGTTTCTTGGATGCGATGAACTTCTAGATGCACTTTATGCACCCGCGATGCATTTCCGCCACTTCCGGATAATAAAAAAGGCGGGACTTTTTTCCGACGGTCTTTCTGAACAAAATACAAAAAAACCGCATTAAAATCGGACCGGGCCGCGAAAATCTAGATATTTTGGGGTAATTCGTTCTTTAGTACCTGGTCTAATATGCACAAAGAAAAATACTGTCTCGATCAAGTTGGGTACTTATTTTGTCTGAGTTTACCTGAAATACAAATACTTTATATGTTTATACTAAATAATTATTGACATGTCACTTTGTATATTTTCTGAAGTTACTTATTTGTGAGTGTTTAGTGTTTTTATTTATTTGGGTATTTAGCCGCCTATAAAAAGAAATTAAAATTAATGATTGCGCCAGAAGTAACAGTTATTAGTTTTATTTACTAAGAAAATAGTTTTACATAACACTAAAAAATAGACATAAAAAATACAATATACATATCATTGACTTTTCGGAAATCAATGTGTTTTCGTTATCAAAACCTATAACGCCACTTTGTTTTAAAATTAGTTTTGACAGTTTAAGTTTGTTTGTTTGCCTGTTTCCATAGCCAGGGACATTTCTATAAAGCCGTACTACGAATTTCGAACCCTTCCTAGGTTCCCCAAAAACTATAGTCACATCTACTGTTTCAAAACATTTTTTTTGTGCAATCAGTTATAATAATCTTTGAGGGACCTGATAACGGTAATGTGACTTTAAAAAAATTAGTCACAAATGTACAATTTTTCTATTAAAATTATTTTATTTTTAAACCGCTTGGAATTAAAAGCAATGATAGAATTTCCGGAATAATCAATGCCGTCAAATTATTGGGATTCATAGTGACAGTGAAATCTCTGCCACTGGTTGAAGTGTTTAAATTCGAATTAAGCAAATTTTGAAATTTTTGGTGCACTATTTTGTAAAATTTCTGGATTTTCTGGATTACTGAGATTTTCAGTAAAACGATACCCTATACCGATTTTCAACAAGTAAACCTATTTTATGTAAAATTATCCACGGAATCTAAAAATGAATCCCAAATTATTAGTAGGTCATTGGCGTAGAAGTTGGGGTAAAAAATTCCGCTTTACTACCCATTTCTACGCCACCAAAAATTTGTAAATTTTACTGTAAATTATGTGTAAATGTTAACACCACACCAAATTTGAATCAATTTATTATTACAGTGAAAACGGTGAGACTTAGACCCTTGCTTTATAAGGCAATTCTGAATTATTTATTGAGTTCTATTTGTGGTTAAAGTTTGATTCACTCAAACTGAAACACCCTGTATAGGTTTGGACCATGGATCATTTGGATCATTTTATAGGAAAATTAGAATATACGTTTTGTAGTATTATACTTCTACTTTTAAAATCCGTCTGAAAAATTAAAATCGGACCACCTCCAATGCATCCAGAAACTTAGTGCACAAAAAAATTCAAATTGCAATTGTGCCAAAACTAATGATCCGACAGCGCCTGCTTTGTGCACACTATTTTTATGCACACTATTTTTGTGCACACTATGTTTGTGCACACTACTTTTGTGCTCTACAACTTAAAAAATGGAGGAGTAATGAATTTTTAAAGAAACGCTAAATTTTCTGATTTTTCCGGGATTTCTAGTTATCTGATCCGATCGATCGACCTCTCATTTTATTCGTATTTCGATTTTCTACAAATTGTCTCTTTATTGCATTCAGATTGCTTCGTTAGTTTAGGTTTTATAAGCAAAAAACTAAAAAAAGCGTTTTTTTGCATAAAAAATTAATTAATGGTGAATTGGAGTAGGAAACATATAAGCATATATCTACAGACTGTCTTTTACATGATGGCACAGTCCGTTTGCTCTAGTATTTTTGTCGCAAATAAATCCTCTATTGATTGGCCAATTAAAAATTCATCGTATACAATTAAAAGAAAGAGTGAATAACAAACATATTTATCAAAATAAACTTTGTTTTATTTCTTAAACTTACTTTTAATATTGCGTTTAAAAAACAGGAACTAATAAAATTAATAAAACAAATAAAAATAAATAATAACATCTGTTTTAGATGGAGATAAAGTAGTGGCCCAAGCAGTGCAGTTTTTTGCAGCCGGATTTGAAACTACAAGTTCTACCTTATCTTATACGTTATACGAGCTTTCTCTCCAACCCACGCTTCAGACAAAACTAAGAAATGAGATAATAAGTAATATCAAAAAACATGATGGAATTACCTACGAGGGACTGAAACAAATGAAATATATGGATATGTGTATATTTGGTAAGTAGCATTTAATAATTATTTAATAAACAATAACAATTAGAAGAAATTAAATATAACGAGCGTTCAAATAAAAACGTGGTCGAAGTTGGCTCTGACACATTGGACGTAGGGAGTAGCTTATANTATTTATTGAGTTCTATTTGTGGTTAAAGTTTGATTCACTCAAACTGAAACACCCTGTATAGGTTTGGACCATGGATCATTTGGATCATTTTATAGGAAAATTAGAATATACGTTTTGTAGTATTATACTTCTACTTTTAAAATCCGTCTGAAAAATTAAAATCGGACCACCTCCAATGCATCCAGAAACTTAGTGCACAAAAAAATTCAAATTGCAATTGTGCCAAAACTAATGATCCGACAGCGCCTGCTTTGTGCACACTATTTTTATGCACACTATTTTTGTGCACACTATGTTTGTGCACACTACTTTTGTGCTCTACAACTTAAAAAATGGAGGAGTAATGAATTTTTAAAGAAACGCTAAATTTTCTGATTTTTTCCGGGATTTCTAATTATCTGATCCTATCGATCGACCTCTCATTTTATTCGTATTTCGATTTTCTACAAATTGTCTGTTTATTGCATTCAGATTGCTTCGTTAGTTTTGGTTTTATAAGCAAAAAAACGAAAAAAAGCGTTTTTTTGCTTAAAAAATTGATTAATGGTAAATTGGAGTAGGAAACATATAAGCATATATCTCCCGAGAAGTTAGCCTCGATTTCTTAACATATATATAACATCAACGAGCTACTTACAAATTCTGGTTTATGGCTTACAAATACTTACAAATTACTTACTAATTATTGATGATAAGAAAATTCGCAAATTCAACAGAAGTGAGGCTCCCGGGAAGTTAGCCTCTACTTCTGAACATATATATATCATCTTAATGAGCTACTTACAAATTCTGGTTTATGGCTTACAATTACTTACAAATTACTTACTAATTACTGGCGAAATAAAATATACAAATTGAACGTTAGGCGCGGCTAACTTCACGGAGCCTATATCTACAGACTGTCTTTTACATGATGGCACAGTCCATTTACTCTAGTATTTTTGTCGCAAATAAATCCTCTATTGATTGGCCAATTAATAATTCATCGTATACAATTAAAAGAAAGAGTGAATAACAAACATATTTATCAAAATAAACGTTGTTTTATTTCTGAAACTTACTTTTAATATTGCGGTTAAAAAACAGGAACTAATAAAATTAATAAAACAAATAAAAATAAATAATAACACCGGTTTTAGATGGAGATAAAGTAGTGGCCCAAGCAGTGCAGTTTTTCGCAGCCGGATTTGAAACTACAAGTTCTACCTTATCTTATACGTTATACGAGCTTTCTCTCCAACCCACGCTTCAGACAAAACTAAGAAATGAGATAATAAGTAATATCAAAAAACATGATGGAATTACCTACGAGGGACTGAAACAAATGAAATATATGGATATGTGTATATTTGGTAAGTAGCATTTAATAATTATTTAATAAACAATAACAATTAGAAGAAATTAAATATAACGAGCGTTCAAATAAAAACGTGGTCGAAGTTGGCTCTGACACATTGGACGTAGGGAGTAGCTTATAGCGACCAACTTAACCTCATTTCTCAACGAGCTGTATAGCAGCTGTCAGTTTCAATAACGTTAATGACTATATAACTTTATTTTAAAGAATAATCGTGATAACAATAACAAACAATTAAAGGAGCTGCGGAAAGTGTCCCCCTCCTTGTTATAACAATAAATTAAAGCAGCTGCTGAAAGTGTCCCCCTCCTTGTTCCAAGCACTTTTCACACCTGTTCCTCAAAGAATTAAAGACATTTTCTAAGATGCTCGGGGTATTGTTAATTTCACGAATCTTGTCTATAAGTCGAGCCTGCAGATGGTTTAAATCAGGAATAGGCAGTTCAAAAATAGTGTTTTTAAGGTAAGGCCACAAAAAGAAATCACACGGCGTAATATCACATGACCTCGGTGGAAATTCATGTTCAGCATTGAGACTTATTAGTCGATTTTGGAAAACTTCCCTCAACATATTCATCGTCTCGCCTGCCGTATGTGCCCTTGCGCCATCTTGTTGAAAGTAAAAGTTTGTAATTTCGTTTTCTTCCAGCTGGTTAACAAAAGGAGCGATAATTTCTTCTCTATACCTTTGCGCAGTAAGAGTACCATTAAAAAAAATAGGTCCATAAATCCTCCTTCGATTGAGAGCACACCAAACTCCAATTTTTTGAGCGTGTAGAGGGCCCTCGACAAAAAAGTTATCTGGTTTTTCAGAAGACCACATTCTCATATTCTGTGAGTTTACGTAACCACTTAAATGAAACCAGGCTTCATCAGAAAAAAAGGTGATATTATGAAGTTCACCGTAGTTGTTTAAAAACCATTCACAAAATACAGCCCGTCGCGGAAAATCAACTTCATGAAGTTCTTGCTGACAAGTTAAACGATAGGAGAACAAACGCAAATCTTTTTTTAACACTGTGTGGCAGGTACCGACTGATACTCCCACCATTTGTGATAAAACACGTACAGAAGTTCTTGGCGCATTTTCCATTATTTGTTGGACATTTTCTTTTAATTCTTCAGTCCGCTTTTTAGGTCGGCCGCTTCCTTCTTTTCTTGTTACACTGCCCGTTTCACGAAAAACATTAACACAACGCTGAACTGCACTTTGAAAAATTTTGTACTCAACAACGCCGGGAAATTGATTTTGAAATTCTATGAAACATTCCTCAATAGAATACTTCCATATTCCATCAATCTTGCGTCCATTTCTAAAGTAGGAAAACGCTTTAAACACTTTTTGTTCTTGAGAAAACACCATTTTAAACGCTTTTTAAAACGAAAATATTCAAATTGATAGCGGCGATATAGCGCTTTGACAGATGACGTTTAAGTTCATTTGACCACGTTTTTATTTGAACGCTCGTTATATTCCTGCATGATAAAAGAAATCGTTTCGGTTCTCATTTTTTATCTTGTGTAGATATTAGTAGACATTATTTCTTAAAAGCAAATTTTTTGCTTGTCCTATTAAAAATTTTTGGCTTCCTTAAACGGCTTCTCACTAAACTGTGCTTTCCTTCAGAACGTTTGAAGTTTTTATGCTTAAAAATTAACAAATTCAGTATTTTTATTGATTTTAATATGTACTTTATACGGGTGTCCCTGAAAAGGACGGACGCTTTACCACGTTCCTTGCATGAAAATAAGACCATTTAGCCTAACTTAGCTATATACAAAAGTACACGCCTACTGAGATACAGCCTTCTGAATATGGAATACATAACCTAGGTTTTTTTTTCAAATAATTTGAAAACTAGTTTTTTTAGAAACTTCAAATTTGGTACCCATATTTTTTTATGTAAGGACAATGTAGATAAACAATTTGGTGATAATACATTTACAGGATCTTCTCTTTCTAGTGCCTGTGCGACACTTGCTATCCGGTAACTTTTTTGTGTGTACGCCAGTGACGCCAGAATTTATATTTTTAAAAATAAGCACTATTTTAGAAGATTTTTTACTTCTTACAATATTTTGATATAGTTTATGAATTTGGAGTAAAATTAGCATTTCTTATACATTAAATACAGGCAAAAACTCCGATTACTAAAAAATAATATTATAGTAAATGCTCAAAGTGGCCCAAATTAAAATGAATTTTATCCAATAATTGTGCATTACCTCTCATAACATTAATTTCATTTTGTATTCTTCCCCATAAATCGTTTTCTGTATTTACTGGAGAGCTATAAACTTTGGCCTTCAACGCTCCCCAAAGGAAATAATCACATTGGTTTAGGTCCGGGGATCGAGGTGGCCATTTTAATGGGGCATTATTTCCTCTACCTATCCACCTGTTAGATAGTGCTCATCCAAGTACTGCCTTAGCGATAAGGCAAAATGGGCAGGAGCCCCATCATGCATGAAAATCATATTCATCCGTACTGCTATCGGTAACTCTTCAAGCAGATAGGGTAATCTCGTTTGGAAAAATTCTAAATAATTTTCTGCGTTCAAGGTAGCAGGTAATATAGCAGGACCAATTACAAAACTACCAATAATACTTGCCCAAATATTAATCTTAAATTCATGTTGGAACCGTCGTTTACTGATTCTATGTGGATTTTCATCATAATAAATATGTTCATTATGCGAATTAAAAATACCCTTTCTAGTAAAAGCGGTTTCGTCTGTAAATAGGATTTTCTTGTGGATATTATCGTTTCTATTTCTGAGTTCCTGAATACTTTGACAGAAAGCAAGACGTGACGGAGGATCTATTGGTAAAAGTTCTTGAACTGATTGAAGGTGGAATGGATGTAGTAATTGGTCTTTTAATACTCTATTAACGGAGATTTTTTGAAACGCCAACCTCTGCCGCTAAACGCCTTGTACTTGCGGAGTTTCCTCGACCATTTCCAAAATTTATTCCTCCAGCTGAATAGTTCTTCTAAAGTTCCTGGTAAAAAAACATCCTGTTTCCTGAAGGCGTCTCTCCACATTAGCAAAGGTTTTGTGATCTGGAATTCTTCGATTAGGAAATCTTTCAGCATACGTTCGAACACGGCAATTTCTTTCACAATAACCCAAAACTGTCATATCCGTCGGAAAAAGTGTAAATCACAGCCATAGTAAAGAGGATTTTAAAAGACAAAGTAAATAAAAATTGAATGACACCTAGCTTGACACTGAACCTTTTAATTATTATTATGAATTTTTTTCTTTGTTATGTGACACCTACGTACTAGATTAATCTGATTACTATCCATAAACTGATTTTATATTTAATTTATAAAAAATGTCAGTTTTACTCTAAATCCATAAACGATATCAAAATTTTGTAAAAGGCAAAATAATCAAAACACCAAACAAGAATTTTTTTGGACGCCCTGTATCTCAAGAACCAACCCGTTGCGGACCCATGTTCATGTGAATTTTTTATCTTAAAATTCACCCTTTAAAGTTTGTAAGTCTTAATAAATACCCTGTATATAGTGCATCACCATATATTATACATAAATGTTTTTTCCTGTACCTAAACTATTCTGAGAGATTACACTTGAATAAATAAAGAAGTGTAGTATCAAGTAAGAAGTCTGTAGCTCAAGTCGTTATAGGCATATATAAACGTTATTTGACAGTAGTACCGTCACGGTACCACATTGAGAGGGCTATACCTCAGTAGTAGGGTTGCTGATTTCTCGGCCTACTTTTTTTCTCGGGNCGTACTTTTCAGGGACACCCTGTATATGAATATAAAACCATTATGGGTGCAGCGTCTTCCCACAAAAGGAAGAACTTACTTAACTTTTCTCGAATTTACACATTACTTTACTGGTGTTTGAAATATTTTAGAAGCTCTAAGGAAATATCCAGTATTGCCATTTCTGGACAGAAGATGTAATGAAGACTATAAAGTTCCTGGAACAGATCTAACTATTGAAAAGGGAATGCCCGTGTACATTCCGTTGATGGCACTTCATTATGATGAACATTATTTCCCAGAGCCAGAAAAATACGATCCGGAACGATTCTCTGAAAGTAACAAGCATAACGTGAACGGACTATATTATATGCCATTTGGAGAAGGTCCACGAATTTGTATAGGTAAATATTTTAATACTGTAGGTACTATGTTATGCAATCCTTGAACATACGAGGTTTTTCCAAGAGCATACCATAACTCACATGGTTTATTCTTGAATAATACATAGACTTCAAAAGTGATTGCAAACCACGTGTTTGGAATACCTAGTAAAGGTATTTACCTTTCGGTAAAATTAAAATAATAAGATCAAGATTACATTAAAACACTACGTTTTGTTTCACCGGCTGTGATTGGTGTAACTTTTCACGAGATTCTATTCAGCCAGTCAGCGACCGCATTATCTCGAGTGTAGAGGTACCGGTTTGTCATTGTTCACTGTAAACGAATCAGTTATATTGGTGACTCCAAAATTTAGAGAATTTTCGTTACCAGTACCAATAGTGCATTGTTGGGTTGCCTAAATTCGGCGGTCACGTGGCTTGTACACATTTATAAAGGCTCAGTATCAGGTCTTAATGAATCAATAGTCTACAGAAATGTATTAAAATTTCCCTTAAAAATTCACAAATTCAAGTACCACGTATAATATTATAAAAAAATATAGTTTACAACTCACTCCAAATCAGGAACACAGTTAAATAAATTCAAAATAGACAAATTGCTCATGAGAACATCAAATCAAGTCTTATACTGATTTTTGTTTTTTATTAAATATGTTAATTACGTAAATATAAAATAAGTACATAAGTATCTGAGATAATTCATCTTTTATTTTTCGTATATTTTCGAAAATTTCGACTTTTGTACATCTCATTTTGATAAACAAAATTTACTAACTATAGTATACATTTATTTTAAAACATAAAATATTACTGCAATTGTAACAATCAATATGATTCATTCTGTAGTTATTTATTTGTGGCATCTTTTATGACTTTTTTATTTAAATCAATTTTCGCACTGAAGAGAAAACATTTATTATTTATACTCCTTGCATAAAAAAATCAGTCAAGTGGATGATTTTATAAATGTAGTTTTGTCTAACCAGAAATACGTAACACTGAGAAAGTAGTTACCTTATAAACACTCTAAACATGACACAGTCAACGTTTCGAAAATCTTCCCTGTTTTCGTTTTCAAAACTGATCAAAATGACTAGAATCAAGTTAAATCTGACAGGACGACTTACCTTGCAGGTTGAAAATATTCAATCAACAATTACTTAGATTTATAGAATGGTTTGAAACCCATTTATTACCGTCCGTTACTGGTTTTGAAAACTGTCATAATATTAAAACCATATATTTTTTGTGGTAAGTTTATTGTATGTTGTTCCTATCATTGAGCATAATCTTTATTTTTAAATTTTTTCCGTATACTCATACAAACATTTTACTACACTTTCATTTACACCGTACTACATTTTCTTCACAATAATTGCATTGAAATTTAGATACCCCTTTTCGGTCCCTAAAATAAACCTAGTCCATTGTTCATTTATTCATTTCTATAATTCAAATACTAATTTAATTCAGGTACTGAAAGTACTATCAACGTATATCACCAAATCATATTTTTTTGTACACAGGGCGTCCGGAAATGTCATGTCAAAAATGGAGGGATATATAGGGGAGGTCAAAACAGTTGGTAGGTACTTCATATAAAAATGTTTCATATCGGGCTTCGTTGTGGAGTTATTCGCCTTCAAAGAATGAAGTTTGAAAAAAAAAATCCTATTATAACCTCGAAGTCGTTACCATGACAACAATGAAATTTGGACAATTAAAGTAACTCATGGTAATGTTCATTTCCAAGTTTAAATTGATATTCAATATGCTTGGATTATACAGCAGCAGACCATCCATTTAAATTTATACATCTTTGACAGCGTTGCCAAATTTGGCATTTTTCTTTCATAGTTCGATTCCTCTCTCACTTTGCTTGAATTTGTTTTTCATACTTCTTTCTTTGAAGGCGAATAACTCCACAACTAACCCGATAGAAAAAAATTTTGATGAGGTACTACAACTATTTTGACCTACCCTGTATCTTCATTTTTGACATGACTTTTCCGGACACCCTGTATATTCAACGTATAGTTCATTCAATTTGACTGATTTTTATAATAACAGATCCGTAGCATTATAAGCTATATCAGAGTGTGAATAATTGTTATTTCTATTTCGTAATATTTGATTTCTGTATTTTGCTATTATTTTCTTTTATATATCATTTCGTAATGAAAATTTTCGTTTTAGGAGAACGGTTTGGCATGCTAGGGGTCAAGGTAGGACTATCACATATTTTGTCCGAATTTGTATTGGAAAGGTCACCGGAAACACCAGTACCTGTTAAATTTGAACCAAAAAGTTTTCTTCTTCAGTCTACTGTAGGACTGCCTTTGAGATATAGAGAGTTCCAACCAACAGCAGCATAAAATAATAATTAACTTTTGTTAGAATAAGGTGTAGACTGCGAGATATGTACACATATGGGTAGGTATTTTAAAAGACAAATAAAATTTAATAGAAATTACTAGTTTTATTTAGGCAATTTGTCAGAGAGCGATCATTAATTTTGTTCCCATCGTCAATGGACTAGACGACCGATTTTTAACTGATGATATTGCGGGAGGCAACTAATTCGAAGTTAGCAGTACCCACGGCTCTAGAAACACGTGTATATCAATAATAACATAGAAAGTATCTTGCTTTACATTACAACGCTGGCAAAATCAAAGACAGACTTGATGGAATCGTTGTCTTTCTCTACACATATCGTTTTATATTTTTTGAGGCATATCGAAACACTTATATTTTAACAAAAGAGAAAAATTTTAATATGATCTAGAAAATATGTGTAGAATTGGGAAACAAAATTTTATCATGTTCCCAAAATAATCCCCACTTGGTGTCCTATTCGCTCTTTCCATTTTCCTGTAATGGTGACCAGCCACCAGTTCTAAGATGCTGTATATACCGTGGCTTTGGAGTACAAAACTCCTGTAACTTGCCTTTGGAAAGCTGCCCTTATCTCTGTTGAGGTGGTATTTTGCCTATATAAACGGCAATCGCACAGGCGTGTGCGAGAGAGAGAGCTAGTGCGGGCTTAAGCTTCGTTCACAGAACTTCGACTGTAGCGCGCTACATTTAATTCAATCAATGAGCTAGCTATACTCGATTCCTTACCATTTTTTTTTGCTGGGTCGTATTCCCGTTTGAAATTAAAATGATTTTAACTACATTTATGTGTGGTGGCTACACTAAAAGTATGGTTAAGTTAAGATTTATCTTCTTTTAACAATACATATACCAGTAACTTTTAATTATTATTAATGAATAAGAGCATAAGCACTATTTGTTTATCTGGAATTTCTGTACAAAATGTAATAATTACAAATTTAAAATGAATATTATACATATTTAAAAAATATTCATAGTTACAATTTTCCAAATAGTTTTTATAATGTTTTCTTTATGTGTATCTCATTTATTTTCCTCATATCGTAAATTCGATCCGTTAAAACTACTGAAGTAGTTGTTTTAAATACCTAGTTCATATTATCTTACTTTGCAAAACTATATGGATGTCTTCCTTTTCAACATATTATTTAAAGAGAAGTTTTGCTGAAGCATATTATAAGTACAATTCAGTTGAAACTATTTATTTATATGTATTTAGTTTGATGTTAAAAAATAATTTGAACAGTGACATATTTAAAGGGGCAAAATTTTGACGTTAAAATGACATTATATTTTGTGGGTGGGGGAAATAATATAGTCAAATATGATTGTTATCATCAGAGACAACTCTACTTGGCCATTACCTTCAGAAAGATGCAAAAAGTATAAACAGGTTAGTACCATCATAACCTTTTTTCTACCTATGAAATTTTATTTTTTCTCCACTTAAACGTCCGTTTACGAAATTGATCGCTGAACACGATTGCAACATATTTAGTTTTCATAAATATTTCACCAAAAATTTAAGAAATCTTTTACATGACTTACTCTAAAGTTTGTTTACAGTATTTTGTAGCGGTATACCCGTGTGCCATTATTTGTTTTACCGGTATTTGCTTCATCTGCCTTGCACACATCAGCGCGATTGACCTCTCTTTCTAGGGCCGGTTCATAGTTTAGGTCTATGCTCTGCTCTGATATTTTAAATAAAATTTTAGTAGAATAATTAATAACATCGTCGTAGGGAGATGGAGAGGCATCGAAAGCAAAATCTACGTGTACAAAATTGCAGTTTCAACTTCAAAGAAACAGAAACACTAACTTTAGACACATTTTTACTAATTATGCGACAAAGACATACCCTTTTATTTACAATTGGGAATACCACGAGTAGTCACATCATCAAACTAAAAAAGAGCACCAGAGATGTAAGCTTTGTACTATAGGCTGATCAGGCACACGTATCTATTGCACAAGCAAACCATACCATTGCAGATGGTACTAATACTGTGTTTTCTTAAAAGGTAGCCTATTCTATTAGTGCATCGTTGTATGTAAGATAAATATGTGGTTGCAAGATATTCCTCCTTTTACTTGATTTCCTACTGATGACTTGTTTAATATTTCCATTAATCATATATCCATTTCTTAAAAGAACTGCGTAGGTGATGTAGTTCCTCTTCTAAGTGTTCTGGCTGCCGTGTTCGATGCATCTGGACTTTAATGATACTTACCTTGATTCTAGGCAGGATGGTAACGACACTCAGCGATCAGATATTATGCTTATAACTTTAAGGTCAAAATGATATGTGATATTTGTTGTCAAAGCATAAATTTCGACATTTGATAGACATAAAATATATCTGTTGTAATTTATTTAAAAGTTGACATGATACTATAAACAAAATTAGTGGTTTGCATTTTGAAGTTGTTGCTACTCTTTCATTATAGGTAATTCTGATATGAACCTAATAGTATGACCTAGAGTTCCTGCTTTGTAGCTATGATAATTTATAATCTGACTATAAATATGAACAGAAACAACAGCTATAGGTATAAACAGTTTATTTAAAAAAAAATCGGAACGCCACCCTGTTATTTATCTAAAATAAAAGTTCAGAAGTTCATGTTATCCGGAGTGTTTGATATTAATTGTTGTATCAATAAATATTATGAATCTAAAATAGTTTTAGAAGTTAATTAGAATGTTACCTATTCAGTAACAAACTCACAAGTAATTGATATAATAGTTTACAATTATTCTGTAGAGACGTATTTTAACTATTTAATAGTGTGCTGGAAAAAAGTTGGCGTGGTAAGTGAAAATATTTACAGAAAATATATATAAAATATTTCATGCAAATATAAAATAAATATAAAACTAAGTTTCTTTTCTAAAAACATTAAAATAAAAATTTTTTTGATATGTAAAAAAATTATATTGTTTTGAGACACTTGTCCAGGGGTGAATTGTATCACTCTACATTATTTTAGAATACACAGATTAGACCTTAATTCGATTAGAATAGCAAAATTACTTATTTGGTTTTTTGACAACTATAAATTCAAAATAATATGCAAGCAAAATTTGTAGTAAAAAAAATTATAAAAATATTTGTATAAAATGTAGCAGCAAGAAAAGCATTTATGAGAGAAAAATAGACTTCCAAGAAATAAAATTAGTGAAAATGAATGAAATGAAATGAATGAATGAATGAATAGGGGTTTACAAAATTTATTCACAGTTCAATGAAATCAAATCAAATGTAAAGACTGACTTCCAAGAACTGAAACTAGTGAAAATTAATGAAGGTTTAGGGGTTTACAAAATTTCCAGCAACAGTGTAGCTGGAATACAAAAGCTTATTAAGATTCATAGCGACACTTGCTATTAAAGTGATATTACTTTTACGTAGCGTTATGCACCGTGAAATCTGGGACCCGTCTATTTATTAGGAAGGACTAAAATTTCAACAGCAGGAACCTTCTGAATGGCTAGACTTTATATACAATCATCGGAAAATCGATACTTTCGTAGCTACCGAGAATGTAGCCAATTAATCCAAATAAATTTTCGGATATGTACGTTACTTTTCCGTTCAAAATTAGGCAATTATTCTTTAATGAGGTAAAACGTAACTTTAAGGACGTCTTTGTGTAGAACGTTCCTCACAGCGTTCCTTCATCTTTATTATTCAGTGAAGAAATTTGCTGAACTGAGAAACCTAATTGGAAATTAGAGCTACTTAACCGTCATGAGACATAGTTTAGCGTGCTCAGAGGTAATGATGGAGGCTATTATAGCAGTCATCCAACCATAATTATTGTCTAACCAATCACTGTAGAAAAGGTGTATTAAGCGGAATGATATTGACAAAGAAGGAATAAATCAGTGGTAAACAAAATGTTAAATCTGAAGGACGACCCACATGTCAAGAGAGGTGAACCCTTGGGAATTTGTCAAATGATAGATAGTTTTTAGTATTATAGGACCACCAACGTCCTTTAGATTCTTGTTAATCGATTCAACTCACCGCTGCAATCTGAAGAAACCTGTAACATAGAATATGTATAAGTTCAAGATGCATTCTTACTTAGAGAAAGAACTGATCTTGTACAACAACGCGTAAATACCTGCGAAGCCGTTCTCATTAAATGGACTCCTTCAATAAATCTCTTGGAAAAGGAAGAATGGGTGTCGAAAAGGAAAACTATCCGTTGCCAAGAATAGATGGCGCACTAGATACATTGTCTAACTTCAATGGGTTTGCACGCTAGGTCTGAATAGTGGCTATTGGCAAATCCCACACCATTCAGACAACAACAAAAAGACGACATTGTGGCAGTTCAACGTTGTACAATTTGATCTTTGTAACACGCTGGCCACTTTCAAAAGACTTATGGAAACAGTCCTCCATGTATGACTTGTCTTGTACTATCTCGACGATATCATAGTACCTGGTAGAACTTTGAAGATTATTTAAAGAATGTTAAAGACGTCTTTAAATAATACTTAGTTCGCATTATTTCGTCTGATGAAGTAGAGAAAACAGAAACTACCTCAAAATGGACAGAAATAAAAAACCTGAATTGAGGAGTATTCTGGAACTTTGTACTTACTATCGGATGTTTGTGAAGAATTTAGCCTTGATATATTTTACCAAATGTCCACATCGACTAAAGGAAAATAGTCACGCGTTTATCTGGACAGAACAATCTCAAAAAGCTGAAACGGAAAGAAACAATGTACACATATTCTATAATTTTTTTATGAAAATAAAAGTTTCTCAGGATCCGATTCTAAATTTTGAATTAGAAACTTGTACAGTACACGAGAATACAGATCATATTTTGATAAAATACTCTTTAAACAGTTTTACTTCGAATTTTTTTGGCTTTCAATAACGTATTTCGAGTATTCTGATATTTTCTATAAACGTCAAAGTAGATGAATTATAAAACGGTAAATTTACAATCAAGAAGTTAGTTATAATATTTCTTATGATTTTGCAGATGTTATTAACTTCAATATGGGTGTTGGACCTCTTGATTTTATTTGGAGTCAGCATATTATTTGCGCTCATATATTCTACCAGAAAATATGACTACTTTAAGAAAAGGAACATGCAATATGAGAAGCCCGTTCCTTTATTTGGAAGCATATTACCTATTTTAAGTATGAGAGCCACCATAGGGGAATGGTTACGTCAGCTGTATGATTCGTTTGAAGCACCATATTTTGGGATATTTGTATTCGATGAACCCTATATAATTATAAAGTCTCCTGAGATAATCAAACTTATTTTAGTAAAAGATTCCAACAAATTTGCAGATCGAACTGTATTGGCTCCTAAACATAATGAAATGTTATCCAATATGATGTTCTGGCAAAAAAGTCCAGACTGGAAAAAGGTTAGGGCCAAGATGACTCCAGTGTTCTCCTCTGGGAAACTTAAAGGCATGCTTCCTATTATAAACGATGTTGCGGTGGAGTTAAATCAATATATACGTCAAAATTTAGGTAAATTAGAGACGAAAGAGGTTACGGCAAAATATTCTACAGATGTGATATCTAAATGCGCGTTTGCAATAGATCCGCATTCATTTAGGAATGATATGAATGAATTTCGAAAAGTTGGTAAAGTTTTTTTTGAGTTCACATGGAGGAACAGTTTTGTACAGAGCCTCTACTTTTTTAAACAGAATTGGGCGACCACATTACGCTTGGAATTTTTCGAGAAATCGGCTTTTACTTTTCTGAGAGGCATATTTTGGAAAGCAATAGAAAACAGACAGCAGACTAATGTTAAAAGGAACGACCTTATTGACATAATAGTGGAAATGCGAAACAACAAGGACTTGTGTGATGAGTTAAATTTTGGTAAGTTTATTTTGATACTTTCTAAAAAGCTATAGTTATTGTAAGTTATAAACCTAATAAATTTTGTTTAATTAGTGTATGACTAGAAAGCACTACAGTCTTTATAGTTAAATTTATCTGATCAAAATAGTTTGCAGACCTCATTTGGACGTCACGACGAGTTTGATAATACCGCCAAAGAATAATGTTAAAAAATGGGCATTTTCTGTCCATCCAGGGGAAATGCTTCTTTTTTCTAATTTTGGGGTGTTGCATACGAATCCTTCATTCTTATAGGACAAAAATGTCGGGAACACAGTGAAAACTTCCCTTTTTTGGGGGTGTATTGGAGTTGACATTGTAACTTGCAACTACAAGTGGTTCTAGGAACGGTAAATTTTTGTACGACTTTATACTTTAAGAACACCGTACTTTGATAGCTAAGCAGAAAAATGACACAAAAACGCCAATCCACCCTCTCACCTCTTCCTAAGAAGGGATATATTTGCATAACCCCTAAGAAGGAATTATTTCAATATAATTGCTATGCAGTTATTTTTTGGGTTATTGATTAGTTTTTGTGTGCTGAGTACGAATCCGTCGCCCTTATTGCGTAAAACTGCCGGGAACACAGTAAAAACTCCCCTTTTTGGGGGTGATTTTCATTCAGGTAATTTTTCTGCTTAGCTATCAAAGTACAGTGTTTTTAAAGTATAAAGTCGCACAAAAATTAACCTCTCCTAGAACCACTTGTAGTTGCAAGTTACAATGTCAACTCCAATACACCCCTCAAAAAAAAAGGGGAGTTTTCACTGTGTTCTCGACATTTTTGGTCGATAAGAATGACGAATTGGTGTTCAGCACCCCAAAATTAGTAAAAAAAGAAGCATTGCACACTTTCCCCCGGATGGGCAGAAAATGCACATTTTTTAACATTGTTCTTTACTGAACTGTTTTTATGATTCCATTTTCAAATTAAATTAAAGATGGGGACAATTTCAATATGTCGGATATGTGTTTTTGTATTAATAATGTTTGGACATATTTTATATAATTATAAATTATTAGTTATTTACTAGATATTGATGGTGTAATTCAATAGATGGGGCACGTAGAGTAATTGTTTCGCAATATGAGGTTAGATATCTTACATATCTAGATTATTTGGTATAAAAGAACCTTTTTTGAAATTTGATAATTTCTTCTTACTTAACATAAACAAAGACAGTAATGGTAAACTAAAATATACAAAATATAAATGTGGTTTGATTTAAACTTCCCAAAAACTTTTAATTTATTTATAAAAATTTAATAATTATTTTAATTAAATCCATAGGTTTCTCATATGAACCTATTTTTTAGATGGAGATAAAGTAGTGGCTCAGGCAGTGCAGTTTTTTGTAGCCGGATATGAAACTAGTAGCTCTACTTTATCTTTTACGTTATACGAGCTTAGTCTCCAACCCAAAATCCAGACAAAATTAAGAGAAGAAATATTAAACAATATCAAACAATATAATGGAATTACCTACGAGGGACTGAAGCAAATGAAATATATGGATATGTGTATCTATGGTAAGATAACTAATATTAGAAGAAAGTCTAACAGTCCAGGAACTATAGAGTTGGACGCGACTTTTTGTTTCGGCAAGCTGAATTTATCACTATAGTTGTCAAATATTATGTACAATAACATATTAGTTTCCACAGTCATAAAAATGGGGGGGAAGATTGTTTACAGGGTGGTTAATTGTATAATTTTTTGGTAAATTCACGTTTTTCGCTTATAACTTTTTTCCGTTCATTTCCACGAGAAAACAGTACAGTCCTTTTTTTCGTCTTTAAAAGACCTACAAAACTAGCCCTCAAGCGTAAAAAATATTGATTAGATCAAAAGTTATAAACAGAAGAAGTTTATTTATGACTTTTGAATTAAACATTTATAAACAGCGATATTATTACCAAAAAGTTTTGGCATCGCATCCTCTCATTCCTTATCATTGTCTAATAACTCACACGAAATCTGGAATCGGTAAGTCGAATAGTTTACAAGTTATGGCCTCATAAACAAATTAACTAATTATTAGTCTGAACGATTCCGAGGATCTTCCACAATCGCACTGATTTTTTTCATGGTAGGTTTCATAATAATACATTGAAATCTATCATTTTTTTTTTAATTTCAAATTTGCAACCTGGATTTTTTTTAATTTTTTAGCGTTAATTGCAAAATGAAATATACGACGCACGAGCTTGATATAAATACATATCCACTTCTTATTTGTGGAAGGGCGAAATGGGCGTTGACTATTAGACGCCTTCATTATAGCCATCCTTGTCTATCACATGGGTTTCTATGGCTTACTTTATCGCTCTCACGTAACTTCTGATAGACCATCGCTACTTTCCTACACTGTATATATTGGAAAGCTTATGAGAAGAGCTTTAAGTTAAAAAACATTCGTCAAGATTCGTTGAAAAACAACGGAGTTACAGACTGTCAAATATATTATTTTCAAGCGAATTTCCCTTATTTGTTCTGTCGTTCGCTTCCCCCACCCTTCTGCCGCGCCACGGCTCGCCGAAAATCAGGCGACCCACTGACTTTTGACAATATTTCTTATGCACGTAATATACTTCCGCAAATAAAATATTTTTACCTGGGAAATTACTCGGGTTGCCTGTTATGACAGTATTTTTGTTTGCCGCTACCAACCTAATTTGTTTAACAATCGGCCGTCAGCGAATCTTGACGATTTTTTTTAACTTAAAGCTCTTTTCATAAGCTTTCCGAATATGTAATAATATATAACTATATCAAGCTCGTGCGTCGTATATTTCATTTTGCAACTAAGGCTAAAAAATAAAAAAAAAATCCAGGTTGCAAATTTAAAATTAAAAAAAAAAATGAAATGAATAAAATGAAAAAAATCAGTGCGATTGTGGAAGATCCTCGGGATCGTTCGGACTAATAATTAGTTAATTTGTTTATAAGATCATAACTTGTAAACTATTCAACTTACCGATTCCAGATTTCGTGTGAGTTATTAGACAGTGATAAGGAATGAGAGGATGCGATGCCAAAACGTTCTGGTAATAATAGCGCAGATTATAAATGTTTAATTCAAAAGTCATAAATAAAACTCTTCGGTTTATAACTTTTGATCTAATCAATATTTTTTGACGCTCGAGGGCTAGTTTTGTAGGTCTTTTGAACACGAAAAAAAGTACCTTACTGTTTTCTCGTGGAAATGAACGGAAAAAATTATAAGCAAAAAACTTGAATTAACTTAAAAATTATACAATTATTAACCACCCTGAAAACAGTCATGACATTTTTATGACTGTGGAAACTAATATGTTATTGTAATAATAATCTATATTGACAAATTCAGCTTGCCGAAACAAAAAGTGGCGAAATGGTCATTTCCCAGTTTATTTTCCTGGACTATAAAGATATTGTTAAAATATGTTAATGATTAAAGGCCTTTTATATATCTGTGACCATGAGATTCACAGAGCGCTATCATTCAGGGTAATTTTCTGAATAAAGATAAAAAAAAGTTCCCAGTTTTATTTTTATTTTTATTTTGTATTAATTTATTTTAAAACGTTTCTTAAAATAATATATTTAAATTAAATACAGTGAAACACTGAACATTTCATTGAGGTTGGTGAAATGTATGGACTGCCGTGGGTACCTTTTTTGGAACAGAGATACTTTAGTATTTTCCATTCTTTTTATTGTGACGACCCTAATTCCTCTTTTGAGAAAAGATAAATTTTCTATTAACTTTCAAATATTTTAAATATTTAATTTTTTTTGTTTCTTTAATTATATGAAGACATGCATTTATTATAATGTATCTTAAAGTACAATTATCTTTTTTGACAGTGTAACCAACCAGCGAATAGGACCGTTGGTTTCGGATGTCTCGTAAAAACCGCCCCAAGCTATAACTCCTCCATTTTCGGTTCGATTTTCAAAAACAAACAAAAGATTGGCGTTAATGAGTCCAAAAATACTAATGACACTCACTTTTATCATTTTCAATTTTCCAATTCACTGGATAACACTATCTTTTTGTTAATTTCGTTGGTATCAAAAATATAAAGTATGTGTTAATATTTCTTACTTTAGTGATATTTATTTAATTGTTTTTTTTTTTTTGAAAATTTGAAGGTTTTCCTCGTAAATTTTGATAGAAATCACAACAAAAATTCAATAGATTCAAAGGAAAATTCTCTATGATAAAGTAAAATATACAAATTTCCATTTCCAAAAAAAAATCAGGCTCTAAAAGAACAGTCTGTAATATTTTCAGAGCCATTAACACTAATTTTTTGTTTTACAAAATTGGATTAAAAATGGCGAGGTTATAGTTTGCTCCATTTTTACGAGACACCGGGTACTAATCCATCTACGAAAAAACATGTAAAATAAATAAAAATAATCCAAAAACATTTGTCACCCCGTAAATAAAAGACGAGATTTACGAACCTATACATTTACATATTTTTGTATTTTTGTTCAAATAATCAGTTGCAGAATATGTTCCGATACCAACTTTTTCAAAATAGCCCCAAGTCTTCTATGATTCATTTTTTCTCCGTTAAAGAAATCGTTTGAAAATTTTACACTAAAATATTGCACGAGACCATAAAAAACTTGTCTGCGCCATAAAGTAGACAATGTTATTCTTACATAATTTTCGCTACCGAATCTGAATATGACCCCTGTTTTGACCCTACCTGTCAGGATCTTTTGTGAATCATTAATCTTTACGTATATCTTGAAAAGTCCTCAATTGTGAATTCCAAGGTTACATACCCATTCAACACCAAATCACTCGACTACAACAAAATATTATAAGCCCGAAAATACGAGGAGCCTCATATCTAATGATGATCCTGGTGGGTTCCAAGATTTTAGAATTGGGAACTAAACTTGAAGCCACTACTTAAGTAATCCTTTATCAGAAATCACCATACTTTCATAAACCAAAGAACCCTATAACCCCATAACCCTATGAGATTTGGAATGCAATGAAGAAGACGAAGAGATCCAAATCTATTCATTGTATTCTCAGCCTCATAGGTTTATGGGTCTATGGGGTTTTGAACTTATGAGATTATGGTTAAAAGGTTACGGTCACTTGAGGCTTGGTTCCATGGTTAGTCAATCATAAATATCGTGATCATGTGTGTTCACTTCATTCCCAGATTCATGAGGTTTTAGCGTTATTGGTCTTATGAGATCATGGTAGTTTCTGATAATTGGTTGGGGGGTAATAGGTTGCTGAGTTCTATATTTTTTTTTAAATATTACTTTAAAATATTACGTTAATATTTTATATGGATTCCTACTCGACGGAAAAATTAATTCCATTCCTGATTGCGTGATTTTGCTTACCTGCCATATATTTCAGAAACTCTAAGGAAATACCCAGTGTTGCCATTCCTTGACAGAAGATGTAATGAAGACTATAGAATTCCGGGAACAGATTTAATCATACAAGAAGGAATGCCGGTATACATTCCGATGATGGCACTACATTATGATGAAAAATATTTCCCAGAACCGGAAAAATATGATCCCGAGAGGTTCGTTGAAAAAAACTCACACAACGTCAATGGATTGTATTACATGCCGTTCGGAGAAGGTCCTCGTGCTTGCATAGGTAAATTTTTTGATAGAATACTATGCGTTGTGATTCCAAGATTAGAAATATTTGTATAAAGAATTTAATATAAATTCATATCATAAATTCGAGAGGTTGTCTCTTGGATTACCTTAAATTTTAAGTAACCAAGAATCTAGCACCGCTGATATTCAAACATGAAGTAGTAATAAATGTGGGTGATATATTGCCTAAAAAGTGTGTTATATCTTACAATCAGCTGTTTAGTAGCCAGAACTAAGTATTACTCGCATACAATGTATTCATGAGTGGTATTCAATACAATATTTGTGTAATCGGTATCCGTATTCATCAGTTTTAAATATGTAAGTTGAAAAGGCATCTGATATCGTCATATTTTAGTGTTATACATGTAGTATATTATAAATACAAATTTAGTGTGGTAGTATGTAATTTGATTGTATGTTTACTACTTTTATTTTATAACAGCCCTTTAATGAGATTCTATTAATATTAAATTTATAACAATTTATTATTCAAAATTATCAAAGGTATTATTTTCATTTCAGGAGAACGATTTGGTATGCTAGGTGTCAAGATAGGATTGTCACATATTTTGTCCGAATTTGTACTAGAGAGATCACCAGACACACCAGTGCCTGTTAAATTTGAACCAAAAAGTTTTATTCTTCAATCTACAGTGGGTCTGCCTTTGACATTTAGAGAGTATCATCCAACAACAACATATGATAATTAAATTTTATCCATATAAAGTGAAGTGCGTTATATATGTTTAGGTATAATTTGAGTGAACTTGATATATACAAATAAAGTTGTTAAGTGAAATTAAATGTTAAATTTCTTAAACTGCAATAAAAGTTCATAAGTTGATGTAATGCACGTAATGGAAATTACTTTTCCTCTCTAACAAAATACTATGATTGAAAAACGCCTTAAATTTATAACATTAATACTTTGTCTTAAAAAATGTTTTTCTAAGATTCAACTCTACTTATTTGTGTAACATAAGTTGTGATACCCCGTAGAATCTAGCAAACTTTGGTATATCATTTTCTTAAAACTCACGGCATTTCAAGGTTATGCTTAATTTGTATGCTGCTCGTTAACATGTTCCCAACACATAACATTCTTTGTCAATGTCACGCCCTTTTTGGGTGTTCCTGCCATGGTGATTGGGATAACCTTTCCCACTTTTGAGAAAAGTTCTTCAGTATCCACCGCTGTTGTTCGAATAAAATTACTGAACTGTTATGCATCCTCAATTTTAAGATATTTAAGCAAATTATTGCGAGCACCATGTGTTGCACTCCTAAGTATCCAGTCTCTCCAACAGATTCGGTTTCTCCTCCTTTCTTAATAATAATAATAATAATAATAATAATAATAATAATAATATTTATTTCTGACGACAGTTAACAACCATATAGAAAATGTCCAAACAAAATATACAAGTAGATAAATAGTAAGCACCTATAAATAGTGGTACTCAGTCAAATACAGTCAATAAACTGAGGTAACTAGTATATAACCAAAATACAAAATACAAATATGCACATAAATTCACTAAATAACAATTAATTGACAAAAAACTCGTTTACACTATAAAAACATTGATTTACTAAATATTCCTTTAATCTACTTTTAAAAGATTTAATTGTTAAAACATTTTTAATATGTTCCGGAAGACGATTATAAACCTTCAAACCATAAACTGAAGGGGACTTATACGCAGCCAATACCCTACAACGAGGTAAATAGAATTTGTCCTTATTTCTTGTGTTTATGTTATGTATATGATCATGCCTTAAAAAGCTGTCCCTATTATTAAAAATGTATACACTCACTTCAAATAAAAACAAAGATGGAAAAGTCAAAATTTTAAGTTGTTTAAATAGATTCTTACAACTAACAGTGTTTGATATACCTTTTATTCCTCGTAATATGCGCTTTTGCGCAATAAAAACATTGTGGGTGTTACTGGACAGACCCCAGAAGATTAAGCCATATCTTAGGCAGCTCTCAACATGAGCATAGTATAGCATAACTAGCTGTGTCTTCGCCAAAACCACTCGGAGATTTCTAATCATATAATTAAGTGAATTTAATCTTGAAACAACCCAGTCGCAATGTGATTTCCAAGAAACATGTTCATCTATACGTAAACCCAAGAAATTGATAACACCTTTAGGTAGAGATAAAGCATGATTATTTATATGTATATTCAAATTAGAACAACTTTTTTGTGGACTGTGGAATCTCAAATAAAAAGTTTTTTCAATATTAAGAAACAATGAGTTTTGATTAAACCAAGCTGTCAACTTCTTGAGTACTTCGTTACATGTATTTTCGAGTATGGCGTCGGATTTGTGAGATACAATTAAAGATGTATCATCGGCATATAATGTAAAATGAACTTCGGGTGAAATTTGCTCCACAGCATTTATATAAACTAAAAAAAGAATAGGACCCAAAATAGATCCTTGGGGTACACCCATATTTACTTGAGCAATGGCAGAATTTGAAATAATTTTTTCATTCCCAATGATGCTTGAAATCGTTGTAAAAACTCTCCTATTTGTCAAAAATGTTTCTACCCATTTGAGAGCCTTTCCCTGAATTCCACATCTTTGCAATTTGTATAAAAGTTTTTTATGATTGACACAGTCGAACGCCCTGCTGAGATCACAAAATATCCCAACAGGGCACTCACCTGCATCAATCATGTTAGTTATTGTAGAATAAAATGAATTAGTGGCAGAGGTTGTTGACTTTCCCTGTATAAAACCATGCTGAGCATTAGAAATGACCTTATAATTGTCCAAAAACAAGGCTAATCTATTTAAAAAACCATATTCAAAAATTTTTGAAAATACACTAGGTATGGTTACTGGTCTATAATTTTGAATCATCGTAGGATCTTTTTTTTTATGTAAGGGTATCACTTTACCAGTTTTTAGGTAAGTTGGGAAAGTGCCATTACAAAAAGATAAATTTAATAGATATGTAAACTGAGGTATGATATATGGTAATATTTGTTTAATGAGAAATACTGGAACATCGTCAAATCCACTAGAATGCTTATTTTTCAATTTAACATTTAACAGTTCATATAGTTCATCTTCTCCATATGGATAAAGATGAAACTCTCTATAATCATTAAAACTTGCATCTTTTATAAAATTATGTTCACAATTATTTTTTTCCGAAATCTGACCAACTACATCCTCTGCCGCTTGAATAAAGAAACTGTTAAATAAGTTTGCTATTCTACTCGGCTCACTAACCACTTCATTGCCCTGCATTATCTCAATATTACCCAAATCGCTTTTATTACTATTTGTAAGTCGTGACACAATATTCCAAGAACATTTCATAGTATTATTAGACGTAGAAATCATATTTTGAAAATATGATTTTTTTTTATCTGATATTAATTTGTTATGCTTATTTTTAGCTATCTTATATGCCGGTTTGAACTCCGGAAAAGTAACAAGTAGCGCATGCAATTCCTTTAATTTTTTGCTTGATTGTCGAACATCCGCGTCAATCCATTTTTTATCTTTAATGTAAGATTTATGATATCGTCTCATTAATGGAAAATGTACATCAAAATGGAATTTAAAATTATTGTAAAAAAAAGAATAAGCCATATCAGTGTCATAAATGCTGTAGAGTTCACTCCAGTCTTGACACCTCAAACTATTTATAAAGTTCATTATTGCGACGTCGTCAAATACTCTTTTGTGGTAAGAAAAATGTTTTCCTGTTTTTCGTACTTCTAGATCCAACTCACACAATATTGATCTATGATCCGATACTATATTATCAAAGACACAAATAGTTCCGCCATTACGAAAATTTGTCAATACATAATCAATTGTGGATACATTTGAATTTGTTACACGAGTTGGCCATTTGACTAAACTGAACAAATTATAAGCTAGAAATAAATTATTAAGTTTACAAAATTCATTGTTTTCCTCTCTACTACAATTAATATTAAAATCACCACATATAATGATTTTTATATTCGGCTTATAAATATAATTTAAAACATCTTCAAACCTATTTAAAAATATATCCAAAATACCGGACGGGGATCGATAACAACACAATATTATACATTTAGTTAAATTATTTAGATCTACAGACATATTTCAAAGACCTTATCTATACAAAATTTATCCAAATCTATGCGCTTTGAATTGATTTCTTTTTTAATCCAGATCCCTACACCCCCAGACATTATCATTTTGTCCTACCAGTAAAGGAGTATAACTATCGCATAAGACCAACAGAGCTGCTTCCATACGAATAGTTAATACGTCTTATTGGCCCTATATTATATGGGATGCTAAAAAATTCTATGAGGCACTCACCAGACAAAGCTGGCGCGACTGGTGTTGCCGACATTGTAAATAACAATGTGAGAACTTGCGTTAGATATAACTCACTGGACTTGCCCGAAAGATAATTGCGACAATTATTGCTATAGTGTGACTTGCGCTAAATTTATCGCAAGCATCTCGCCGGTCTATCCGTACTTTAATGGAATAAACAGCGATTAAAAATTCAGCTGGGTGAATCTAGTCCTGTGGAGATAATTGTTAATAACGATAAGATGACAATAATAAATAGGAAAATATTAATCGTAAATTAGGAATTAATGAAACACTATTGAGACTGTTGACTAGTACCACATAAGAATTATTATTAAATCAGGCAAACTAATTGATAAAATAAGTACAGATGGCTTTATAAAACTATAAAGTTATTGATAACAATATATCGAAAATTGATTGTTAACTTTAAACAACTCTAATTGAACGAAACTAATTATAGAAACAAACAAACAGACGAATTACGTGCAGTAAATTCGTTCCTAATTATGAGATAGGTTATAAATCCCACTCTGGAAGGCTCCCCCCCCAAAAAAAAAAGAAAAAATTTTGCGCTTAGCTTCAACAGTGTAGTGTCACTGTTCGTAACAAGTCTGGCTAGAGATAATATATAAGTACTTATGAAATCAGTTTTTGGTGGCTGTGATGATTTAAAATGTGCTGGACAAAGCGATGGTGTGACTACCTACATGTGTTGTCTAATTTGAACGAGTATATCTCATATAATTGATAAGAACTTCCTGTAGGTAGGTCAATTGTTTCCATATTTACACCATAAATCAAAATAGGTATCTTAGAAGAGTTGTTATTTCAAATAAAATTAAAAACTTCCCTCAAATTGCTACTCGTACATAAAACAACAATATTAATAAATTTGAAACTGGTCCTTCTAATTTCCATTAACTTAATCAATAGATGTATAGCTTGGATATTATTTATATATCTATAAAATTCAAAACTATTAAAGTTATTTACTCTTTTATAGACAATTGTATCAGTTATGTCACATGCTGCCGTAAACATTTAATGAAAACGAATATTTTAATAAATTTGTCTCCTATAACATTTAATTCAGGCTTAAATGGTCTTATTAAGGTTAAAAGATAAATCAATATGACCTCTTTTGATGTAAAGACATGCAAAAAATAAATAAGTTTAATAATTTACTTCAGATACTGTTACAAGATAGGTATTTAGGAACAAATTGACAGTACAACTTATTGTAATTTTTTCTATTATTCATTTCTAATAAAAGGCTACAACTACATTTCAAATATTAATCTAAACAAGTAAAGAATATAATGTAATAGGATTTGAATAATTTATTTTTTTGGCATTGTTGAATTGTTCAATTATTAACTTCATTACTTTTGCATTAAAAATAACCGAACAAATCTTTGTAGGTAAAAAAATACTGCATAAACACGTGAGTTGTTAGTTTGGCGCAAGGGATTTTATTTTTACTAAATAATAAACAGTTATTGCAGATGCAGATAAATAGTATCGTAATATTCCTATTCAGAAATAATATTTCTGTTGTTTTTTAATGTCACTACTGCTAACCTTGAATAGCGCAATTCCTGATTATAGGTTGCTAATATTACGCAATATGCCTCGTGATATGCACATTAAGTATTTAATCGTATGCGTTCCTCAACAAAATGTTAAAATACCGAACATACTTGTTAACAATGACTAATTTAATGAATGGCATTTTCTCGTTAATTGTGCTGTTGATAGCTTCTATACAATTAAAATATATACATTTTCTAGTTATAGGTACATTATTAATATTGGCTCTTGTACTTTACTTTAAATTGTATTAAGTTAATCCAACTCTAATCCTAATATTGGGTATGAAATAGAAAAGAAATATGTATTTTCTGTTAACAATCGAATTACTCAAAATCAAATAAATAGAGAGAGTGTCAGATCATATGGAACTTTTAATAATAATAATCATGAATAAATTAGGATAAAGAGGGATTCACATAATCGTGAATTTGCTATTTGCGAATATTGTTCTAATTGGTTAATTTTAATGAAAATCATGAAACAAGCTAACAGAAATGATACTCTGGGTCGTACGCAATGTTACGAATGGTTTTCATGATTAAAAAGTAGTCTTCAGTCAATTAAAGAAGAAGTTCTGGTGTGTGCAAATAGCGGATTGTCTGTAAGAGAAACTGTAGAAGAGCAAGTCATGCTTGGAAATTTTGAATGAAAAGTTGTATATACATCGAGTTGCAGTAAAATTTGTTTCCCGCTTGATGACCGAACAATAGACAGCAAATCGTGAGGACGTTTGTCGGCAACTCCTTAAGCAATCCAATGACGATGAAACATTCATTCAAAGGATCATAACGAAAGACATAAGCTGGGTTTATGGCTACGACATTAAGACAAAAGTTCAATCAATACAATGGATTAGCAAAGGGGTCTCCACGCTCCAAGAAAGTACGTTAGTCCCGAAGTCCCTAATCAATGTCAAAGTGATACTCACTATTTCTTTCGCCTTTAAAAGTTGTGGCGAGACAACTCATAGTTCTTGTACCATAACAATGCGCATATTCGTCAGTTTTGTACCAAAAATCAGATTACTATCCTCCCCCACTTTCCTTACTCGCCAGACTTGGTTCCTTGCGATTATTTTCTTATTTCCGAAAATAAGGGATGCCGTTTTTTGACTATTGATGACAAAGCAGGTTCGTCACAGACTTTAAATGCCATTTCAAATGAAGCTATCCAGAACTACTTCGCGAAATGGGAAAAGTGTGTGAACTGGGGAGGAGAGTGCTTTATAGGAAACAAGGACCAATAATGTATAAAATTAATAATAGAGTTTAAAAAAATAGAGGTCGGTCATTTTCTGAACAGACATCGTATGTACATCAAATGCCATTCAGTTTTTTTATATCGTCTCTATTTTCACTGTAAACAAAGAATTTCAGAAATTCTATAAATTGATAAATTGTCAAGGCAATATATTTTACAAATATTCCAATCGCAGGAAACTTGAGACACCTACGAACTATTTCTAATTTCTAAAGTTTAAATTTTAAAATATAAGATGTGTAACTTATACCTATATACCTAGTGCAACGTTATTCTAGAATAATAAGTATGGCTGTCAGAGAGAGCAGCAATTCAATATCATGCCAAGCGAGTCAACTGAGACTTGCGTGAGACTGCCTCAGAATTCTTTTCACGTTTCAAGTTAGTATACTGTTGCTTTGTTATCGTGCGGATGTTGCGTAATTAATTCCTATCCGTTGGTGTTTATGGTGATGTATTGTAGAAAATTTGATTTGTTACTTTTTAATAAATAATGGGTACGCCTATGTCCCGCGGCTCAGTTCTGACAGCCCTAATAATAATTTATTAATCTAGGTATAGGATCTTGATGATGAAGATATAGGTATGGTTGTTATGTTGTTGGCCTCTACACACGCTCCAAAACTTTAGAACTAGTTTGGACCAGTCCTAAGCCTGGATATAATGGGAAGAAAGGCAATGACGGGTAAATGAAACGAAATCTTCAAATCCGGACATCCATAAAACCGTTGTTCAAAACGACATTTACCAGGCATACTTTTTTTTAGAAAAATTCTTGGAGAATAAGAATTTTTTTGATAGAAATTCAATACATATTTGCATACAAACAATTTAAATACATGTAAAGTACTCTAACAATTTACAACCAATTTGAGACCTTATTTCAGTTTCTCATTTCAGAAAGCTCCCCTTATAAAATTAAAATTAAATGATGCTTTTTTTAAATACAACGACGCAGAGCAATAGTCTTTTTTTATATGTACAGTTAGCTATCCAATTAGTTTAATATTTTTCGTTGACATAAATGTCTCAATAAAAGATCTTGGAATTGATAATAATGATAACAATGATAATAATCGTAATAATCATAATAATTACAACAATAATAATAATAATAATAATAACAAGTGTAAATGATAACAATGAGAAGCTATGTTATGCAATGTAGCAGTTAACAGCAACGCACATCGAAAAAAATATTAAAAATAAACGACAATGAAAAAGGTGGACAGGTGTACATACTAAATATATGATTGTCTGGTAGTCACTGGCTGCCTAGAAGAGCAACTATAGTACATTGTGTAACGAGTGGGGAAAAGTTGTCAATAGCGCCACGCGCTATGGCAACTTTTCCGAACGAGTTGCACATACTATTTTCTATCACAAGTGCGAGTCATTATGGGACCTATAGCATAGGGGGTTAGGTGCACGGAAAGTGCTAGATAGTACAACAGCGTGATGTTATTTTATTAGCGCAACGCTGGAGCAACTAATGGTTAGTCAGTTGGTCTTACAGGAAGGGATGGAATGCATCGGTGAACAAGCTCGTACAAAGGTAACACTTGTCAAAATACCTTAAAAGTGGTCTAAACAAGGTGTGAATATGGTCAAAATTAAATATTAGCTTATCAAAGGGTGTTTTGTGGCTAAAAATAAATTCCTCTGTAGGAGTACGAAATCCATATTTTGTAGCGAAACTTTTAAATCCAGTCAATGCTGTGAAGAATCTCCTTAATTGCACCTTTGCTAGAGCTTTGCAAAAATGTAGTTGGCCAAAATAACTTGGAGAACCTAGAACAAAAGGGCTTCTCTTAGCCAAGCAATTTATTTATTATTTTTTTCCTTTAAATAAAGGAGACGTATTGACCGTTACACAAAAATATTTTTAGATTTTATTAATCTGAATATTTTTAATCTTTATATCTCTCTAGAATATGAAAGTTAAAGATGTAAATATAAGTCAGTTTTATCAATATTGCAATTATTGACAGAAAAGAAAAGGTTATGTTTTCCCAATTTAAATGTTTTGACTAGAAAGGAGCAAGTCGGCATTCGCCGCCGGCCGATAAATATAAAATTTTTTGAAACACCGTGTACCTTAGCTTTATAAATCTCTTAAACGGCGTTCAATGCAAATACCAAAAATTCTCTCATCTACTTGTCTGTTGTATATATTTGAACCATCTACCTAAATGCAGCCAAGTCTTCCTCTTCCTCATTATCTAAGCTAAGTTCTTTAGCTCTTTCTTTTCAGGCTATTATCTGAAATGAAAGCAGCTGAGTGGGTAAATTTGAAAATCGGTTATAATTTTGAATTCAAAAAATTTCAGCTTATAATCTGACAGTCACGAGCGAAACTATTGCCTATCCTCAAGTAAAAGACTCACCCCGACAGAATTACGTGTAGTCACGTCCATGTCGAATGAACACCGGGATTATATTGTATAGTCTTTCCGAAGTCAGTTGAACATGTATAAAAACGCCTAGCAATAAAATTTAATGAGTTTTATAGGTGTCCCTAAAAAAGTTTTCTGCTAAAGGTAAAAAATTATATTTGTATATAACGTGTAGAAAATTTCTATTATATGTTCATTTGGCCAACTACATATTTTAATTATGTAAGTCCTCAAACAATTATATTATATTGCTGGTAAATTTCGTTTTGCTCCGTTTCAAAGAGTCTCCAAAATTCCATGTTGTAGGAGTATTAGTAAACAAAATATCCCTTTTATTTATCCCTTTCGAAATTGTAATATGAATGATTAATAGAAAGTGCCTATAATAAATTAAAATTACCTAAATCACACCAAATTCCGCATTGCTGCTCTGCACTGCTAAGCAATTTGTCAACTACTTGTCAACAACTGAGATTTATTGCCTAGTCGTCCAATGCAGCTGTGTTTGTATTTCG